ACTTCTAAGCTATACAGTCTCGGCTGAGAAGGTGGGCGGATTTCGATTTTACCAGCTTCTGCAATGTCTCTTGAAGTAACTTTATGTCTAGGTATTTGGCGTTCCCGTTTAGTACCAGGAGTTACAGTAGCAATAATACCCATGCCATGAAAGGTATCATTACCGTCTAGAGTTCTCAGGTTATGGTCTACGTTGTCCCCAACGTATTGCACAAACTCACCATTGTATTCTGGAATATCTGTTCCCTGGTCTACTTCTGCATTTTGTTTGTAGGTAAGTACCTCTTTATACGATGAGCAAAACCCAAGTCGGTGAAGGATGTCCACGAGAAAGCGTGAGCCAAAACTGTGGTGCAACTGGACAGCTAAACCCTCTTGGAGAGGCGCAAGGACAGCGCGTGGTCTTGCCGACTGAATTATTGCTTGCCCAATGGATGCCTTTTTAATTGCATAGCTTTTATAAACGAAGATACCGTCAAGAAATAGCTTCAGCGATGGAGGTAAAAAATCGAGATGCTTCTCTATTTCTGTCTCGATGAAAGGATATTTCTCGCTGCCCGTTTGAATAAGTTTTATGTCGCTTCTAATCAACTTAACTGCTGTTTCAATGATATCGACCTTTTCTTGTTCCGGATTATCATTGCGTTGCTGCTCGTGAAACTCATGAAGAATCGATTACTATAAGCGCTTGACGGATCATTAGAAAACTCTTTCATTTTCTTCACTAAATCTGATACAGTAAGTTGTTCGTCATCATGTTCCTGTAAATAATGCATAACTTCAAGAAAAGCGTCACTTGCATCTTTATCATGAGGACGTCCAATTTTTCTTTTCTTGCTGCCTGGCTGGTCAACTGAAAATTGACTTGGCATTTGCCTCTCCTTTCTAAAATTAGAACTGCAATCTTGGTGATATATTGCATCAGCTGCAGGCAGATCATGAACATGCAGGATTCGTGCGCACACTTCGATCCGCCCACTCATCGCCTCTTTTGTTGCATACGCTCAACACCGTCTTCTGCATTTCTAACGTTCTCGCTTGGCAAACTACCCTTTTTCGTCTTTTCATCTCCTGCTTGTCTATCACACTACCACAGTAAAAACAATCAGTTTTGAAGCTAAAGTTTCGGTTTTCAGAATGGTTGCTATGTGATCGGAGTGAACAAGGTGTGTGATCAGTTTCGCTTTGCGAAAATTGTTTCTCTTTTAGGTCTTTCCTGATGCTACTAGGACGACAAAAACTCCGACGACAGGCTTTGTGCACACCATCTCCTGGGCTTGCCTCAACAGTGTCTTCCCTTTCTTTGCTAGCATTGTTAATGCCGTCTATCCCTTTACTTGTGAGTAACACACCATATGACGTCACTCTTTCTTGACATATCACACAATAAACGTCGTCCATTCCGTTGCCTAAACATCTATACCTATCAAAGAAAATGCAGGAAAAAACTAAGCATATTGTTATTATTATTATTATTATATTTGAATATAACTTCCATGTCTGATATATATATATATATATATATATATATATATATATATATATATATATATATATATATATATATATATATATATATATATATATATATATATATATATATATATATATATATATATATATATATATATATATATATATATATATATATATATATATATATATATATATATATATATATATATATATATATATATATATATATATATATATATATATATATATATATATATATATATATATATATATATATATATATATATATATATATATATATATATATATATATATATATATATATATATATATATATATATATATATATATATATATATATATATATATATATATATATATATATATATATATATATATATATATATATATATATATATATATATATATATATATATATATATATATATATATATATATATATATATATATATATATATATATATATATATATATATATATATATATATATATATATATATATATATATATATATATATATATATATATATATATATATATATATATATATATATATATATATATATATATATATATATATATATATATATATATATATATATATATATATATATATATATATATATATATATATATATATATATATATATATATATATATATATATATATATATATATATATATATATATATATATATATATATATATATATATATATATATATATATATATATATATATATATATATATATATATATATATATATATATATATATATATATATATATATATATATATATATATATATATATATATATATATATATATATATATATATATATATATATATATATATATATATATATATATATATATATATATATATATATATATATATATATATATATATATATATATATATATATATATATATATATATATATATATATATATATATATATATATATATATATATATATATATATATATATATATATATATATATATATATATATATATATATATATATATATATATATATATATATATATATATATATATATATATATATATATATATATATATATATATATATATATATATATATATATATATATATATATATATATATATATATATATATATATATATATATATATATATATATATATATATATATATATATATATATATATATATATATATATATATATATATATATATATATATATATATATATATATATATATATATATATATATATATATATATATATATATATATATATATATATATATATATATATATATATATATATATATATATATATATATATATATATATATATATATATATATATATATATATATATATATATATATATATATATATATATATATATATATATATATATATATATATATATATATATATATATATATATATATATATATATATATATATATATATATATATATATATATATATATATATATATATATATATATATATATATATATATATATATATATATATATATATATATATATATATATATATATATATATATATATATATATATATATATATATATATATATATATATATATATATATATATATATATATATATATATATATATATATATATATATGTATATATATATATATAGGGGCCGCCGTGGTACATTGGTAACGCGCGCGGCTGTGGGCCGGAGGGTCCGCAAGCGTACGGGTTCGATTCCTGGCCACGGTCCGAGGTTAGGATGCTACTAGGCGACAAAAACTCCGACGACAGGGCTTTTGCCTACCACTCCTGGGCAAAGGCCTCAACAGTGTCTTCCCTTTCTTTGCTAGCATTGTTAATGCCGTCTATCCCTTTACTTGTGAGTAACACACCATATGACGTCACTCTTTCTTGACATATCACACAATAAACGTCGTCCATTCCGTTGCCTAAACATCTATACCTATCAAAGAAAATGCAGGAAAAAACTAAGCATATTGTTATTATTATTATTATTATTATATTTGAATATAACTTCCATGTCTGATAAATGTCGTTTTGCAATGTTACTCGATAGCAAGTGTATGTGCAAATATGATGTCGTGAAACTCAAATTCAGATAGGCCCAAACATCAATCAGTCAATCTATATTCATAATAATACTCCAGTTTCTTGCCAAGTCTCCTAGATCATTTAAATGCCGGGCTCTCCGGAGTCTTTCGGTCATTAAGTAATAAAAGCTACTCACCTGGAAGTCGAAAAACGAATTCACGGCATTTCAGGTTGTTTCTTTTGCACTGAACTACTGCTGCATGCTTGGAATGTATTTCACACACGTCAGATTTTGTCGGGGAAAATTGGCGGGAAAAAAATAATTTATTGCTTTTAGAACAAATTCATAATTTTTCAAGCTATTGGGGTGATTAAGGCTTGGAAAAATTCCATGCACCTTCAACTTAACCCCATTTTTTTGGGTGTTCCCGTGCCGGGACTTTTGGGGACTTTTGATATGTTGTTAACTGCTAAATGTGGAGTCTAA